GTGTTCCTCACTTGGTTTTAGTTTGCGGCTGGCATAGGCAACATAGAGTTTGAATTCACCTTTTTCCTGTAAAAGTACTGCTCCTATACCCCTGTCGGATGCGTCAGTTTGTACAATGAAAACTTTGGAGTGATCTGATTGAATAATAGATGCTTTTAAATTTTGAAATGCTGATTCCTGAGCTTCTGTCCACTGAAGTGTACTGGGAGAAAACTTTCTTGTGAGGTCTGTTCATGGAAGAGCTATTTGGGCAAAATTCGGGATAAACTTTAAAAATTTACCAGTCCTTGAAAAGATCGCAGTTGTTTTTTCGTCGTAGGATAGTTTGCCTATTTTATAGCTGACACTTTATCTGGATATGGATATACTCTGTCATCACCTATGATATAGCCCAAACACTCCAGTTTCCGATAAGCCAAAGAACATTTCATTGGTTTGGTGGTGAGATTTGCTGAACGGAGACGCTGTAAAACAGATATATGTTGATCAAAAGTATGAGTTAATATCAAGATATCATCTATGAAACATTAGAAACGTTGTTGAGCACCTGGCGCATGAGAGGACAAAAAAGCAGCTGGAGCTTTAACCAGCCCGAACGGCATTTTGGTGAACTGGAAAAGACCTTGGGGAGTCTGAAAAGCTGTCATTGGACAGGCAGGATCAGACAATGGCACTTACCCCATTGACAAATCTAACCGTGAGAAATATTTACGACTTGATAATTAAGCAAACATTGCGTCAACATTAGTCATAGCCTCAGCATCAAACATAGTAATGACATTCAGAACTCTTAAATCGACGCAAAGCCGATATACATTGTCCCTCTTTGCATCAAGGACTACAGGGGATGAATATGATCTTTCCAAATATTTGATTACCCCAATTTCTAACATTTGACGTATCTCATCTTTCACTGTTTCCATCATAGCAAAAGGGATTTGTCTCGGACTTACCCTCACAGGTTTATCCGTTGTTAACCTGATTTCATGTTCAAGCACATGCATGTGGCCTGGTACATCTGTTAAGACATCACTATACCTGTGTAAAAGATCCATAAAAGTTTGTCTCTCCTCTCTGTTGAGATCTGGATTCACATCTACATCTCGAGACTGCACGTGCATGAACTCGGCTTCCTCATCATACTCACCAACTGATTCATCAAACTGAATCTTTTCCGAATCTACAACTGACATAACACACTGGACAATTGGTTCACAACGTTCCATAAACTTTTTAACATGTTTTTATGATAGGTCTTTACTTTCCCCTTCACATCCAACTGATAGTCTACTTAACCTATCTTTATCACAATTTAAAAAGGGCCTTGTCATTGCATAAGGAGCCTATTACTATCAGAAGGCAACAAAACTAAAACTTTCTCACCTGGTTTCATATTTTGTACACTAGCCTTCTTGTCAAAGTCCACTTAGTTTTTTTGTGACGCCCTCTTAAGATTCTCCTATGCCAACTCCCAAGTTGACTCCAGTTTCTTGCGGAGATCTAAAATGTACTGCCTCATTTTTGTAGTGTTTGCATTCTTTGCTCCCCAAATAACAATGAAGGTTATTTATTCTGTAATTTGAATGAATCAACGGAGTGCGAAAAATGACCGTTTACAGTAGTACACGGTTATAGCGAATACTCTTATAACGAGTTGACGATAACAACAATTTTTATTCCCTGTGGCATTAAATTATAAACTTAACGGATGGATATGGAGATAACAAACAGTATTCAATATATATCAAAGTCCATAAAAAAAATACATAATAGGAATAGAGCAAACACGGACCTCCGAAACATCAAAGGTGGGATCAGGTGCCATGGAGGAGTGATCACCCCCTGCTGACCGTTCACACCCACCGTGTGCTTCCCGTCATGATCAGGTAATATCGGAAAAATCCGTTTTCAATTCAGTGTATAAATAATGGACTAACAATTAGTATGAAAAAAGCATTTGACTCAATGATATATATCCCGCTTTAGACAAAGAACTTTATTCGGTAATAACCAATATTTGCCCCCCCCCCCCCCAAATCAAACTTTGATGGAGATATATGTAATTAAGTTCTTAAACAGGGGAGTTTATGCTGACTACAAAGCACTAAATATTTATATAAGTAATGATGGCATATGTACGTAATGACGTCACAAACATGACGTAAATTTCAGTTTTTATGAATTTTACAGAAAAAATGTACATATTGTGTCGATATTTAGAGTAAAAATCACTGAGCGCATGTGTATTCAGGTTTAACATTTGTTATAATGATTAGAATGATTATATCAATGAAATATGTCAATATTGTTCCTGAACAAACTTGCGCTCTATAAATTTAAAAGCTAAAATTGTTGCAATTTTGTCCACTTTGTCCTCTTTCTGAAAAAAGGATATAAAATCGGCTAGTTTGTGAGGTCATAAAAACAAAAATTGTGAATACAATGCTTTGACACAATAATATTTTCTGTTACTGTTAATTTATATTTCTTATACAATGTATTGAATTCAGCACATTTCAGGAAGTTTAAAAAATTTGACATTTGTGGGGGCAAATATATGCAATATACCGCATATAGTTCTTTGTTGATTACTGATTGGATAAAGGCTGATAATGTGAAACCCTGAAATTTTCCGTATTACGTCTCTGTCAAGGCGTAATATGAAAATCGGGCACGCGATTCCATTCGAAGCGTTGTTATTGTAAATAAAAATGGCGGTTAAGAAACGGTTTACGTACTAGGTAGTTTAGTTAAATTTCTTGTTACCTTAACGATATTTTATGCTGGTTGTTATTGGATTAATACTTAATATTTTTATATTATCCCGCTTCAGACAATTTGTCGATTACTGATTGGATAAAAGCTAATCACATGACGCCCTGAAATTTTCCGTATTACGTCTCCGTCCAGGCGTAATATGAAAATCGGACATGCGATTCCGCTCAAAGCGTTGTTATTGTAAATAAAAATGGCGGCTAAGAAACGGTTTACCTAGGTAGTTAACATGCATGTAATTAAATTTCTTGTTACCGTAACGATATTTTATGTTGATTGTTTTTGGATGAAAACCTACCAATTTCATAATATGCACAAATATTTTTTTTTTTTATATTGAAAAGGGTCTTTAGCGGGATGAATTCGTAACACAGTCAGTGAGTGACCTAATACGGATTCATACCGGGTGTGAAATGGAAATTCGTATTGGGCGAGGCTTTGCCTTGCCCAGTACGGATTTCCATTTCACACCCTGTATAAATCCGTATTAGGTCACAAACTGACTGTGTAACTAATAATATTGTATTTGCTGACAAGGTCATTGTGTCGACCGTAGAACTTACGAAATGATGACTTTAAATGAGTCTGCTGATATTCTTGTTTAATCAACTTGCTTGTCAATAATTTACCTCGTTTGAGAAATTGTTCATACGTAATGCATGCTCTTGCGTATGGAATCAACTGAGAAATATAAACTCCATATGCAGGCGATAAATGTATATTGTTGCATAAGTAAGGGAAATTGACTATAGAAAAGTTAAAGTCATCACATTTATTATATAGCTTGGTTGTTAGATTACCACTAAAGACTTTTTCTAGTGAAATATCCAAGAATAAAACAGATGTGTCAGACTCTGTGGTATCTTTTATCTCAAGCTCATTAGGATATATCCTATCGACGTAGGAATGAAAATCACCATTTTAATTGACACTACGTCGTTGATATACCTAAGTTACGCTTATAACAAACCAAAATTGTTGGTCCTGAGTACTTCGTTATAAGTCTTTGTTGCTGTACTTTTGAAATTCGTCCAGAATTTCTCTTCTTTTTAAAATATATCGTTCAAGAGGGAAGTACTCTTAAAGCAATAGAACCTATAAAAAAATAGATTGTTCAAGAGTAATGCACTTGTGATTTACAATATTAGTAAGATAAATAAAAAAAAAAGATGATGTAAGAGGGGTGCACTCCTTATGCGGAATATATTGAATCTTCATTCCTATTATTTACATACTTCAATGTTCTGGCTGTCTCATGTACTTCGAAAATGTTTTAGTTCATATCAATACATTTAACATCCCTTTAATATTTTCCCTTGTATTCTCTTTTACATCAGACAGCAAAGGATAAAATTAAATATACCAAAATTGGAATTGTTGAACAATAAAGAATTTGATAGATATCTATATTTGTATGAAATAAATAAAAATGCGAGGAATTCATGCAGGAAAAGGGCGCCAATTACCATTTAAAAAGATAAAAACATAAATCTAATTTTAAAAAAAATTAAAATGGAAAATTTAAACTGAAACACCAATTTAACGTTTTTAAATTTGAAAACCATCATACCTGTGCAATGTTTATGTCATTATCTATATTTTGATTGCCTGAACAGGCAGGTTAATTTTTTTTAAAGTAAAATCATATAGAAGTTTGCATTTATAAGAAAAAATTAATCAAAATTGATTTAAGAGCGTGTCTCAGAGAAAAACATGCAAAATCTGAAAAATCGTCCGGGAGGGTCTATAAAACTTTTCATTTTATCATATATTTTTAAGGTCTAGGTTGTCTGAGGATCTAAAATTTATATTTGGAAAGTGTGTCACGTGTTTCTATTTTTAGTAACAGCCCCGTTTCTATATTTAGCAAAAATTGGCATAAAATAGTAGGTGCAAATATGAAAGTTTGAGACCTTGCAAAATCAATTGAAAAATTTTTGCAATACCAGATATTTATTATATCATCAACACATATATGTCAAAGATGAAAAATATTTATTTTTCACAATGATTGCATCTATATTTATTCTATAATCGAACCACGAGTAAGGCTAAATTTAGAACTTTAGATTTATTATCCTTGTTTAGTGCAATGGTACAGCTTAAATGGTGAAAATAATTTGATCTAATAATGTGCTTTATAATAATTTATTTATGTTCTATCAAATATAAAAAATTCACTGATGGCTTTTAATAGGACATACAACAAATAATTGGTGGAAATGATGAACTTACGATGTTAGCCGGGCTCTCCATTTGTATCTTAAAATTGTTCAAATGTAATGAATATTGCTTCAATTGATGATTAATGATTTTATTTTAGTGTTAATAAATGCTGAGAAAGACAATCAAAATTAAAACCTTCGTGAGAGTTTAAAATATTCACCAAAATTGATAAAGAAAGATAATAAATGTGTGTTGAAGAGTTATCTCCCGTAGTAGAACTCTCCATACAAAAAAGGGGGAAAATGATATTGCAACATTGCAGGGGCAGAAGAACAATGTGATTTCAGCAATTTTTCAAACATTTCAAGCAGTGATGGCCCAATAAATTCATTTAGAAGAATACACTAAGGATCTGTCAAACCATTTGCGTTTACTCAAATCTCCGAACATACCCTAGCTGGATTGTATGGAAAATTTATGATGTGCCAGAGGCGATCGGTTTGCTGCATTCTGTAGGCCTATAGAAATGGTTTTTTTTTTCCATTGACACTACTAGCACATTAAAATTATAAGTATGCCAAAGACAATCAAGGATTAAAATGGCAAAGAACTAAGTCAAAGTGCTTCCGTCCCGATCAAAAGGAAGAAAGCAAAAGCAGACCGATGGGCTACCCCTACCTTTTGTAAAGAATACTGGTTGAAAATGAGGGAGACAATATACCAGTTGGATCAGGTAGGACAAAGAATTTTCAGTTGGAAGTTAAAATAATGAATGTATGAGTTTGGACCAAGGAGTATGAAAGTGGTTTTAAAAGAGGAAATAGGTATATTTTAATACATGCAAGGACAATTTTTAAAATTTAGCTGATCACACAAATATTTCATCACCATAATTACATAAAGATTTATACAAAATTAAATTGAGTGCCTATACATTTTTCAAATTTATGATATTTTGAAAATCAAGAACATTGATAAAAATCATTAAAAATTTAAAATATACTGCCACTCATAAAGTTTATACTGAAAATTTTAGCTGCTTGTACATGCACTAGACAGTATATGATTGCTAATACACCTGGTGTATTATAGAGGTTTTAAACATCTCCCATATATTTTATAATTATACATTATTTACAATTGATTAAAATTCTTTCTTATAGCAACAGTTGTCCATGTGCTGCAGTATTTATTGGATCCAACCAAATCAGAAGAGAAAACCCAGAAGCAAATTCATATGGTAAAGTGTAGGGCTAGAAAATTAATAATTATATTTTTCACTTGTCACTTAGGCTATCACCTTGATTTTTTAATAACTCAATACTCTTATTATCCCACTGGGCCAGTTGATTTTAAAAGAACTGGCCAAGATGAATAACTATAATTTATAGTACATGTAATACCTGTTTATATTATGATACTTTGTAATAGAGCAACATACATGTAACAAAACAAACCAAAAGTCTCTGTTGAGACTGTAGCTCTATTGGTTTGTACTTATAACAAACAGACAAAGGAAGAAAAAAGTAGCAGTTGGGTCTTGAAACTTTACAAATGCAATAAATAGAATAAAGATTTTTGATAAAGCCTCTTTTTGTGGCAAGATTGCAAAATCACAACTATAGGAGCTGCTTTTATAAAGTTTTACAAAATTTTCAATTTAAGTTACTGTGACAAAATCATTCATCAATATAAAAAAAAAAACAAAAATAACAATTATGTTTCTCCGTGTAGTCTATTTGCATGCCACATTATTATATAATATTATAATCAGACTAAAACTGTATTTAGAATAGCCTTTTGAAAGTATTTCACAGAAATTTCTATTTTTTATAAACCATGGCAACACTGTTCATCAAAATAAAAAAAAATCCATAGATTATCTTCTAATTTGTAATTTAACCGTTTACAAAAGTCATATGTCATGACATATGATATATTGGGATTGTGGTAGGTAAACATGGTTAAGTCAAAGTAAAGTTTTTTTTTTCAAGAAAGATCAGTTATCAAATTTATTCTAAAAGCACTGGGGCACTTTTTTCATGATGCAGTACAAGATCAATGAAGTACTTAAAGTGGTTTGTTTATCCAACAACATATTTATTCATCCTATCATTATGATTGAATGAATGTATATATTGTTTATCATCTTTCTCGAGAATTTTTCACTCATATGGAGACGTCACCGTTTGCCGGTGAAGGGCTTCAAATTTAGACCTACATACTGGGCACTCAGGGCCATTGAGCGGTGAGGGTTCTTTATCGTGCCAGCGCCTACCATGACACGGGACCTACGTTTTTAAGGTCATATCCGAAAGACCCATGACTTTCACTTCTGATGCTGAGCGCTTGGTGATGGAAAAGTCACTACCTATTTTTTATTACATCTTAGGTTTGACCTGGCGCCAGGAACGAGAATCGAACACGTACCTCCCGATCACGAAGGGAACGCTCTAACACTAGGCTACCGTAAACGGTCCTATTATGAAAAGTACACTTAATAATTAGTCTTTGAATAAATCACCACCTTCATCTAAAGTAAATTGCTTATGGTGCATTTTAATCCATATTATAGGTAATACAGGGTTTTCTAAGAGAGGAGGATCACAGGAGTGGAACTGTTTCATTTACCCAACACCTTGAACTGACTGATCAAGGGAAATATGAAGCAGTTTACAGATGAAAGTTCTGCTGGAAGCACAGAGATTAATACTGAACAATACATGTATTACCTCTGTCCGGACTCATCATAACAGAAAGTATTTTCAAAATGTTGCAATCACGAAAAATTTCTTGGAGTTGGAAATCAGTCTTACAGAAATTGAAGATCAAGTAGGAACACTGCAGCAAATTTATATGCTACAAAATGTGAAAGCATTAGAGAGTCTCAAAATTTATTGATACAAACATTCAAATCAGGTAGAGTTGATGATGAAGTCCAGAGAGAGCCAACAGGAGAAAGCATGGGTTTGGCACTGGAGAGCAGAAGAAAGCAATACAATTCTCCAAGAAAGAAAAGAACTCCTTGTGCATGATATGCGAAGAATGTGACAGAACAGGAAAATGCCCCAATAGTGTCTAATTGGCAGATGAGCTAAGAAAGTAAATGATAAAAATGGTGAAAGACTTTTTAAGAAAGACAAATGGCTAAATATTTCACAAGTAAGAGGATGTATTGCCTCATATATTAGTCAATAAAATCTAAGAGTTTCTCTGTACCTCCCTCTGTAAAAAATCAATTGTTGTCTGAAAGGTGTTTTGAAGATGTTTGTATTGATGAAGATGAAAAACTTGCAGAGATTGTTTCTGCTTTTGGCTCAAATGAATATGAAGATCAAATGACTTGTATGGTTTACATCTGTAAATATTCAGTAAAATTATAACCTGTATAATCACATATTTTGAAAGAGAGGAATCGAGGATTCAGAAAAAAAAATATTGATATGTGCAAATTTTGATTTTATTTTGCAGTTGTTGAAGTGTTGAGTAGTAATTAAGCATAAACATTTTATATTTCATGATAGTCATAAATTTGTGGGTCTCTCCATGCCCCAAATACATTGAAAATTAACCCCCCCTCCCCACACACACACACAAATTAGAACCTTGGAAATTAAAGGTTCCAATATACTGAACCATGGAATTGATTTTGACATTCTTACATTATGATCATTAAAATGTTAGAATTCTGATTGTTACAGTATTTTCAGTTTGATGGGATATCAAAATAAGTTATTTTAAATTTATAAATTCTGTTGCATACATCACAATTTGACTTCTATCAAAGAATGTATGAATCATTATAAAAGTAATTAGTTCCTAATACAGTGTAACATGTTTTGGAATCAACAGAGGATGAAATTTAACTACAGTAACTGTAAACATAAATTCATTTTAAGTGTGTTTACTGTAACCAACATTATGTACATGAAGTTCATGTATTACATACCATATATTGTAGAATAAGAGATCACAATGCTAATTTTGACCTTTATGCACTTGTTTTCTGAATTCTATTTTAGGAGAGCTATCATATTCAAAAGATGTTGTAAAATAATCAAACTTATTAATTTTTACAGAAGTTTGGTTTTGTTTACTTAAAACATTTACAATATTGTTTTCCTTACATTTTAAGTTTAAGAGATGAAAGGGGATTCATAATATTGTGTGTAACACCCCCCCCCCCCCCTACCCCCCCACCACCACCCCTTTCTAATGGATTATTATGATTTATAGAGGTGTTATCTATTGAACTGTAATTAATATGTTTAATTTTTAAAATACATATATGAATGTTACCACAGAAACATTTTTTTTTATGTTTTGAAAAGTTTTGAAGTATTTTATGTATAACACTTGAAGTATTTTTGATACCTTGAGTGTGAAAAATTAACTAACTTTGACATTCAATAAATACTAAAGTTTAAATTTGCCATCAGCAATTTTTTCATATTTTGTTCACATAATCATCCTTAACAATAAGCAGTAAAATTTACTAGATTAAAATTTCCATTATGGCAGTAAGTGTTATTTCAATTTATTAGAAAATTGACATTTTTTCAAAAATATGGAACATTGCCAATTTTATGACCTTTTTGCACTTAAACACAATGGATGTCAGTCATTTTTACTATGCACTTAAGAAGTACTAACCTGTGTTCTTTTATTTCATAATTAAATATTTTGATAATAATGAGAGTTGCAGTTTTAATTCTTCTCCAAATATGACTAAAAAGTATAAAATATGACCTGAGATTTTGTTGCATAAGAGCTATTTTTAGTAACAGGTCATATAAGGTATACCGGTATGGTTGGCACAATAAAAATTTGTCCAGTTTCCATTCATGCATACTAGATTTAGCTCGCAAAATTTGAAGGCAATTGGAGAACCTTGCTACTGGACCATTTTGCATGTTTTTCTCTGAGACACGCTCTTAATATTTTTTTTAAATATGTATTCTTTGTTTGTTTTCTATTCATTTGAATGTAAACTACAAATGAATCATTTCCAACGTAATATTTTCTTGATTGTGTGGACCCTGGGGTCCACGCAGTAAATATATAAGCAAGGTTAAACCGGATGCAATGGTCATACGTCAGGCTACGCATGCGCGAGAATGCTAGAGAGTTATCTCGGGTCTTTCCGTCAGAGGTATAAAAAAAAACAACTTCCACAAGTCGGAAAGGCCCGAGAATTTGCGATTGGGAGAGCTTAGCAGTTGAATAATTCGACCTATTCGAATAAGAATATACATGTACCATGTTCATCGGCACATCTCGCTTTTAAATCTGCATATCGTATTTATTAATTTATTGGCGAATCCGAATTTCTTTCTTATACAAACACATTAATATAGAAGCTAAACATCGATTCTACGGCAGATGCATTTTAAAAAGTAAAAGTATAGGAAGAACTTACAGAATGAAGAATAACAATTTGAATTAAAAATATTCAACGAATAGTTCTAGGTTTTCAAAGATAGAATAATTAAATTTATTTGTGCATCAAGCCTTGCAAAAATAATTTGATATACAGCAATCCAAATACAGCTTGATACAGGCCTGTAGCAACAGTTTTCGGTGTGGAGGAAGGGGGGGGGGGGCTCTGAAAAAAAATCTGCGTACAAAAGAGCTGTGCTACAAGTGTATCATCAGATATAGTTTTCCAATTATAGATTTCTTCCGTATAAATCCAGATGTAATGTCGCAGCCATTATGGGTTACATGTATAAATATAACCCAGTTTTTTTTAAACGACAAAACTATAGACCAATCCGAGATTTTGCTACATGTAAGTACAATCAGTCAAAGTGGGCAGATCATAATAAAAATGTGAACGAACCTACATGAATATTCACTAAACCCAGGAATTTTCTTGGATTGAATTTCGTTCAGAAACACATGCATATGATCCACGTATTTTAGTCCTTTTTATAAAGGACAGCAATTTGTTTTAATATTGATTGCTTTTGTCTGCCATGCTTCTAGAAAGTCTATAACTGATAAAGCAATACTAGTATACACAATAAATAGATCCAAAGCATCAAATCAACCGCTAAAAAGTTAGTATTTCATGAAAAAAATACTTTTTTACAATTTTCAAAGCATCCATGCAAGGAAGGCACAAGGTAATCAAAGCTGAAATGGTGAATTTTATTTCAGGCCGCCTTTAGAGCAAAGTAAATAAATATATTTTTTAATTAAATGAAAAATTTTATTGCAATTGCTCATCCAATTTATTTATCGAGGTAAAAAAGTCAATGATAAATATGAGAAATTATTGTGATCAAAATGAAAATGTACATGTAGGCCCCTCAAGATTAACCACGTGCTGAAACCCTGCATGGATTGTTGCCACGTGTGTTACAACGCACTTTAAAAATTACGCACGTTAAATTTGGGACCAAGTCAAGGCACTTTGAAAAAAATGATATTTCTTCTTAAAGTGCATTAATATGGACCATATTAAGCCCCTTGCTTGTCGTAAAAGGCGACTAAATGGGGCGGTCCTTCGGATGAGACCGTATAAACCGAGGCCCCGTGTCACAGCAGGTGTGGCACGATAAAGATCCCTCCCTGCTCAAAGGCCCCGAGTGCCGAGCATAGGCCCAAATTTGCAGCCCTTCACCGGCAATGGTGACGTCTTCATATCAGTGAAATATTCTGGAGAGGGACGTTAAACAGTATACAATCAATCAATCAATCAATCATATTAAGGCACTTTGAAAAACTGTGTATGAATTGGTCAATGTTCCTGCAAATCTTAGGTATGATAAATAATTAAACCTGTTTGATAACTCTTCTGTGAAGATGTCACTTCAGGATGTGAAAATTTTCAAAGTGGGTTGAGTGTGTCCAAAATTTAACGCACTTTTTTTTTCAAAGTGCGTAATTTTTTCAAAGTGCGTTGCCACACACGTGATAATGCCTATATGATTTCTGCAGAGTTGGCTTTGCTGAATGGTGCGATGCAAAATTAAGAGAGAAAAAAAAAAAACTTTTGTGTCATTTGCAGCTGTAGCATATTCAAACAATTTTATACAAGTTTAAAAACTTTTAAAATTTTTATTAACCATGCACTTTTCCCACATCATTATTATCCACAAAATCATGACGATTTCTTTTCGTATTATCCACACTCCGAGGATTGGACTTTTTACTGAAGTATTCAACTATTAATTATTAATCATCTGACATGTCTGATGCAATATGATTATGAAATTGAAACATAATAACAACGATTACATTTAGTTCAGAGCAAATTAAAAAAAAGAATTACTCATGATTTTATACATGTTATCATTCAAGAATCATTTTACTGAAGTACGGAAATGATAACATCTTATTTCCCCATGTGTACTTTCTAAAATAAGCACAAATAGTTAGGCCGCTGCTGCGGCCGATAATGACAGTTATGCAATTCCTCTAACTTACATTCCTGATTAATATCACATCTTTAGGAAACAACAGTTTGTCAGTGTTTGTGAATTACTTGTAAATGTACAAGTAGTTTCTACGTTTTCGGTAATCGTAAAGAGCTATCGCAAGGTTTTTTTTAATGAAAACTATGAAAATAATGCAAATTTTCATCAGTAACAAAGTGTTTTAACAAAATTAATAAAGGTATATTTAAGCTAAACCAAGTGATAAAATACTCTGACATTCTGGGATTGAATTTGGCCGACCTGCATAATAATTCCAACGCCCCCACCATTAGCGTATTCAGAGTAAAAAAAAATACGAATGTCTAGAAAACCTTTCGGGAATTTTAAAAATAAATTATATTTTTCGTATTCTAGCAAGCGTATTTTACCAAGCATCTCTACGAGTATTGCATTTGGAATACTAGTTTCGAACCAACAAATGCATTCTGGTTACTACTAAAAATCGAACTAAAAAACCAGCAGTGGCGTATATTCCATTTCGGCAAAACTGCTATAGCTAACACATCCTTTCATCAAGAATAAAAATCTGGTTGAATGAAGGGCCGAGGATCGGAGTAGATGATAAATTACTTACTGAATTACTTTTTTGAAACGGCCAGAAAATCATTCTTAGCAATCAGAACTTCCGATTATGCTTACAGTTTTGCTTTAATGACAATCCATTTTTTTAGGTTGACATTTTTTAAGTCAAAGTTCAAGTGTAGTGAATATTAAGTTTGTATAAGAAAATTTAGTCAAAACAACAGGAGCAAATAATATGTACAGGAAACGAAATTGATAACTTGAATTATATTTGGTTACTGTAGTAGGAAATTCAACGTTTTGATCGAAGTTTGATTATTCAGTAAGGGTGTTTCCCACATTTTGTCTGAAAGTTCTTGTGGGAAGTCACACAGAAAGACAGAAGTACTGACTCAGAGGAAACCTACATTCCCATCTGGTTCACCGGTAGGGAACTAATAGAATCTCTCATTATATCCTATGCAAATTAAAAAAGAAAATTATACAATAATGTAAAATTTTCAAAAATCTATATTCGAAATTTACTTCAATGAAAAAGAAGTATACCAACAATTACAAAAGTCACATCTTAGTAGTATTTTATAAGGATCTCTAATCCCTGAAAATTTTAAATTTATAAATTTTTCTTTTTTCATGTTATCCAGCGTCACAATTTCATTTTATATTCC